GGGGGGGGAAACTATATCGCTATATACATGCGATAAACTGACACGGGAGCTACCATATTGTGCATTGTTAGATTGTCTTCTAAACCTGTAAATCTTATAAGCTGTTATCAGTTGAAAACTACGAGAATAAAATCCATCATGAGCTATAAACGACAAGGGGAATTTCATAAGAAGAACAAATATTTGTACCACCAACTAAAATAAATATAGAAAGCATTTTTACCACGCTTGGACTCTGCCCCACGGAGTGGCATTGTTTTTAAAACTTCTTTCAAAACTTATACAAGCTGTTCCCAGCTGGAAACTAAATGTGAAAAAGCCTTGAAAAACAACGAATAATTTAAAACGAAAGAGTGTATAAAAAAATACACGTTCTGCGGAATTTTTTCTTTCGTATTAATTGAGCAATTGTGTGGGACCGATCGAGAAACGTCAAACTTAATTCAATAAATTCAATTTAATTAAATTAAAAAGAGTTTGTTTGGCCGACATAATCTTATTGTTTCATTCCAAAGCTGTCTCTAACTCGATGACCGTTACGAACAATTTGAACAATGTACATAAAGCCGCCAAATATTCAATTTTTCAACCATGCATTCTACTATCAGAGCGCTGCATGCACCGAAACCACAGGGCCGCAGTCCCTGCCAAAGGGCCTATATATATATACTTGCATTTATCACACTGACTGCTCCTGACGAGGTAGACTGTGTATAATGTATAAAAAAATTTAATGTATAAAAATATTTACATTCGAACATTCCATCTAAAACACCATTCAACTTTGTATACTGAGCCTATAATTTTGTAAAAACAATATAGATGTCTCTGCCAGATATAATTCGATACATTTGTTTTGTCTTTGGAAAAATAAATAAAGGGGATATACTTGAACAATATTTAACAAATTATTGAATGAGAACGCATATGAAGAATTAACAAGGCCGAAGCTTGTGTTAGCCTCACTTGGAGAATATATCAGTATCGATATATGCACTCGATATATATAATCTGCCTGAGTACAAATCCCACCATGATCAAGTATAGTTTTCGCTTGCCCGTGGTGGACATCATTTGGAGAAGATCATCCAATATATATAATCTGCCTGAGTACAAATCCCACCAGGACATCACTTGGAGAAGATCATCCAATATATATAATCTGCCTGAGTACAAATCCCACCACGATCAAGTAGTTTTCTACTTGTCTGGTGTGGACATCACTTGGAGAACATCATTCAATATATATAATCTACCTGAGTACAAATCCCACCATGATCAAGTAGTTTTCTACTTGTCTGGTGTGGACATCACTTGGAGAACATCATTCAATATATATAATCTACCTGAGTACAAATCCCACCATGATCAAGTAGGTTTCTACTTGTCTGGTGTGGACATCACTTGGAGAACATCATTCATCCAGCATGCATATATAATCTAGCCAAGTACAAATCCCACCATGATCAAGTAGTTTTCTACTTGTCTGGTGTGGACATCACTTGGAGAACATCATTCATCCAATATATATAATCTAGCCAAGTACAAAATCCCACCATGATCAAGTATTTTTCTACTTGTCTGGTGTGGACATTACTTGGGATGGAGACAGTTTTTCATGGCTATTCATTTTGGCAACAGTATTTAGCATTCAATTTAAGCTTATTACGTGCACATAACATTTTAATTTTTGGGCATGCCTATTTCTTTACCTAAAATAGTCCCAATTTTTACGGAATATTCTTATGCGAAATACCAAGCTTAAAATAGAAATTCTCTCACAATTAATAAAAATTCATGAGTCATGAAAATTAACAGATAATAATTATTTGTTCCTAATAATTCTCTAATCACCTGGTATGTACCATCAAACAAAAACGAAAAAGGTTTTGATCCTTATGATTATGTAATTATAGATTGCATGATTTAGAAATCCCAATCGCTTTAAGAGTTATAAGGAAAGAATGATTTTGAAAAGGGCAACTTGTTTTTTTGCTGTTCCTATGAACGAACTTGGATCAAGCCGACAAGAGATATTAGCCGCCGACAACAATAGATATATTAAATATACTGTATTGGATATATTAGCCGACAACAATAGACAATTCCCATTATAGACTAATTTTAAAACTAGGCAAGGAGATGCAAGTAAATCACCACAGCTAGAAAGAGCATACTAAAATGAGTAAAATTGCAAAGTTTGGTTGCGAAATGTTGTAAAATGCGGAAAATATAGCCTTGCAAAGTTTTGCAAAGTTTGTATACTTTTGTATTGCGGGCGGAAATTGCTACCAAAAGTATAGGACAAAATTTGCAAACGTTGCAAGGCTATAATTTCCGCATTTCACAACATTTCACAACAAACCTTTGCAGTTTTACTCATTTTAGTATGCTCTTTCTAGCTGTAAATAGCAAGAAATTCTGTCTGTTGCAAGTAGCACCACCTGATTTTATGAACCTATACACGGCCTTATATAAATAGTGAAGTCGCGTTCATTTTATCTAGCCGTGTTTTTCCACTTTTGGTCGCGATAACACGGCCAACACGGCCCTCTAGCTATGTAAATATAAAGTGGAAAATATGCCGGCTAAAAGACATCTTCTTGGCAGATGACGTCATCCCTTGGGTATTTAAGAAGCCACGATCGCAGTTTTAGATCACCCCTGATGAAGACACTAGACTGGAGTGTCGAAACGTTGGGTCTTGATTACAATTCGACTGGGCTTTGTAATCATTTATTTAAACCAGAGTAGCGAGCGAAACATGATAAAAGACATCTGTTTTCGAGCAGTAAATAGCTGCATTTCAACAAGGAAAAAAGATAAAAAACTTTCAATAATACTTGAAATCTTACATCTCAAACTCATTAATAATTCATGAGCAAATTAGACAACCATATTGCTTTACTTTGCTCACATGATAATACTGGATACCTGGTGAAGTATATTGATTCAGTCCTAGGACTGGATCAAAATTAATTCATTCCTTGGACTGGATCAACATTAATTAAATAGTGACTTATTCGCATCAGATGTCATTTCAAATCCTCCAATTCGGACTGGACTAGATTTCATGTCCTCGCATTTTGATCCACTCCTCGACTTCGCCTCGGACGTGATCAAATTGCGCGGATTTGAAATCTAATCCAGTCCTCATAGTCGGACTAGAGTTCATGTCCGCGCAAAAATATAACTACAAAACATGTTTCCAAAACGTCTGTTTAAACTCTGTAAGCCGAGTCTTCAAAACGGACAATAGATTAGTTGTAGAAACTTCAATTCTAATTTTAGTTATCAGACAGAACTTATAGAACTATCCGGTACAAAGTATGTTAAATTTAGCCTTTCTTCTTGCTGTAATGTAAGATCAATAAGAGATGATCCTTATTGGACCTCCAGGGAGAACAGTTTAGAACTGATAGAGCTATCCAGTATAAATAAAGTTAGTTTGGTTTAGGTTTCCTCCTGTAGTAACACTGGATCAATAAGACTGGATAATTCTCACTGGATCTCTAGGAAGAACAGTTTAGAACTGATAGAGCTATCCAGTATAAATAAAGTTAGTTTAGTTTAGGTTTCCTCCTGTAGTAACACTGGATCAATAAGAGATGATTCTCACTGGACCTCTAGGAAGAACAGTTTAGAACTGAATACAACTGATAGAGTTATCCAGTATAAATAAAGTTAATCTACCAATTTAGTTAAATGTTCATTTTCTCTCTTTATATTCCAGGTTATGCTGTCCCTATAACTGGCTAGTGGTTCCACGAGTAGATTTACATGATATTCTAGATTTCGTTTGTCCCACATCAAAATTGATTGTGAAACAAGTGAACTACAACACGAGAATAGCAGAGACTATGAACTTTAATCTTTTTCGACGAGAGTGGACCGGGAGTATACGAGATTTACAAACTGAATCAATAAGAGATGACTCTTACTGGACCTCTAGGAAGAACAGTTTAGAACTGATAGAACTATCCAGTATAAATGAAGTTAGTTTAGTTAAGTTTCCTCCTGTAGTAACACTGAATCAGTAAGAGATGACTCTTACTGGACCTCTAGGAAGAAGAGTTTAGAATTGATAAAGCTATCCAGTATAAATAAAGTTAGTTTATTTAGTTTAAGGTTAATAACATTTAAAACATTTCTTTCAGGCAACGGAAATGGCCTGGTTTCATCTCTGGACAGCAAAGAAGCAAAATGCAATATGCTATTCGCAGTTCATACTGTAAAGAGAGAACAGCGTGAATTCGCTATTACTTACGGCAAACAAGGTATGCTTAAATTTTGTTTTGAACACAGAAGGGAGGGTTGGCCATTGTTAGAATATCTTGGCAATTCAGCTGACAAGAGGCGGAATTCCCTTCATGCTAGTGTAAACAAAAGACAAACTATCCAGATGAACTAGCTACGTAGAACAGAGTGCATGATCTATACTCGCAATGGTTCTGGGTACAAATCATCTCTGATATTGTACTGACAGTTTATCTAATGCTGCATTTATACGCATAGCTACAGGTTCATCTAAGAAAACTAGAATGTCTTTGAAAACACTTCTTTGCCCAAATTTGATTCGAAAAGTGGAACTTTTATTTGTCAGGAAATGATCACATGTGAAAATAAAATATTTGCATTTTTTGTCTCAACATCATACGCTGCAATACAAACATGTGCGCAGACTATAGTTTAAATGGCGAGATATTATATTCTAATTTTCTGAGATACATGGACCAGAGTGCAGATGGGCCATCCATCGAGACATGCGCACACAAGTTTGGTTAAGTAGCCCAAGTCCGTTTCGGTGCGGGGGCATTTGGCCAACAGACACTTGGCCGACAGGATCTTTCAACGACAAGATAAATAGCTGACAGGACATGCATTTAGCCGACAAGACATTAGGCCGACAAGACATTAGGCCGACAAGACATTAGGCCGACAGGGCAATTCACCAACATTTCGATTATTTGAAACAACGTCTTGAAATAACATTTATTGTACCTCCCACGCATATTTACAAGCTATGTTCAATAGCACGTATGGTCTAAAAAGCTGCCGGTGTCCAAATCACTCACAATCGCTTTGAGTCCTAAATTCAGCGTTTGGAAAATTTCTTCAATGGGCCGAAGGAGAATCGCGCAGAGATTTGCTGCAATAAAAGTTCATTATTGCCTTGCTCCTTCCTGATCTTGGTCAAGTCTCCGGATAGTGGGACGAGTGACGCCAACGCGTTGTCGAAGACATAATGCCAACCTTCTATGGAGGTATTCGTACGCGGTAAATCATTCTCAACAAGGTCGTGTTCTTTCCATACATCGATATCGAAAAGAGACAGGCGTCTGTTGCATGCATAACTCATCCAATGAGTCATCATTTGAAAATAAACTTGAAATAAAAAATCTTGTCGGTGAGTTGTCCTGTCAGCCTAATGACTTATCGGCCAATGTCCTGTCGGCTAAATGTCTGTCGGTGAAAGGTCCTGTCGATCAAACGTCTGTCGGTCTGGTGTCTGTCGGCCAAACGTCCGGTCACGGTTCGTTTCAGCTGTGTCATCTAGTATAAAGTCGGGTGAAAGTCCTTAACATTTCATATCCTTCTTAATTTCCAGCCGTACCAAGTAAATGCGAATGCAACACCTCGATGAAGCCAACACTAGACCCCACGACAACCATGACCACGCCACAGGAGCCTAGCACCACTACCCATCCACCCACCGCTGTTCAATCACCCACAACTACGGAGGAGACGACCACAACTAGGGAGGAGATGACCACTCCCGTCACCCCTTCCACGGCTGCTACGAGTAAAAAGCATACGACGAAAAAAGAAATAAGTAATACTCTGAAAAATATCGAAACACTTAAAACAACGAAGCCTACAGGTAACGAGACAGTTTAGAACTGACAAAGCTATCTAGTATAAATAAAGTTAGTTTAGTTTAGGTTTCCTCCTGTAGTAACACTGGATCAATAAGAGATGATCATTACTGGACCTCTAGGAAGAACAGTTTAGAACTGATAGAACTATCCAGTATAAATAAAGTTAGTTTAGTTTAGGTTTCCTCCTGTAGTAACACTGGATCAATAAGAGATGATCCTTACTGGACCTCTAGGAAGAACAGTTTATAACTGATAGAGCTATCCTGTATAAATAAAGTTAGTTTAGTTTAGGTTTCCTCCTGTGGTAACACTGGATCAATAAGAGATGATCCTTACTAAACCTCTAGAAAGAACAGTTTAGAACTGATAGAGCTATCCAGTATAAATAAAGTTAGTTTAGTTTAGGTTTCCTCCTGCAGTAACACTGGATCAATAAGAAATGATCCTTACTGGACCTCTAGGAAGAACAGTTCAGAACTGATAGAGCTATCCAGTATAAATAAAGTTAGTTTAGTTTAGGTTTCTTCCTGTAGTAACACTGGATCAATAAGAGATGATCCTTACTGGATCTCTAGCAAGAACAGTTTAGAACTGATAGAGCTATCCAGTATAAAGTTAGTTTAGTTTAGGCTTCCCCCTGCAGTAACACTGCATGGATCAATAAGAGATGATTCTTACTGAACCTCTAGGAAGAAGGTTAGCAGGTTGATACACGAGACCTTGATATTCATATAAGAACTTGTGGTTAGAGCTTGACAACTGTCTCTCTGTAGCTCAGTTGGTAAGAGCTCGACAACTGTCTCTCTGTAGCTCAGTTGGTTAGAACTCGACAACTGTCTCTCTGTAGCTCAGTTGGTTAGAGCTCAACAACCGTCTCTCTGTAGCTCAGTTGGTTAGAGCTAGACAACTGTCTCTCTCTAGCTCAGTTGGTTAGAACTCGACAACTGTCTCTTTGTAGCTCAGTTGGTTAGAGCTCAACAACGGTCTCTCTGTAGCTCAGTTGGTTAGAGCTTGACAACTGTCTCTCTGTAGCTCAGTTGGTTAGAGCTCGACAACTGTCTCTCTGTGGCTCAGTTGGTTAGAACTCGACAACTGTCTCTTTGTAGCTCAGTTGGTTAGAGCTCAACAACGGTCTCTCTGTGGCTCAGTTGGTTAGAGCCGGTGTCTGTGGCTCAGTTGGTTTGAAATCTCAAACAACAAAATCCTTCTTCGATTTCTCTAGATCCTTATGACATGAACCACGGCGATTTCGCTCATCGACAACTGCAACCAGGCACACCAGATGGTACCATTTCAGAATGTACGTATCCTCAATGAATGATTCCAGCTATACACGAATTTTTTTATCTGGACAAGAAGAACGCAATCCATTACCATAGCTGGAAAGAGCATCTTAAAATGAGTAAAACTGCAAAGTTTGGTTGCGAAATGTTGTAAAATGAGGAAAATATAGCCCTGTGAAGTTCGCAAATATTGTATATATTTGCATTACGCGCGGGAAAAATAACCATTTTTGAGCCGAAAGTGGTTATTTTTACCGCGCGTAATGCAAGTATATACAAAATTTGCGAAATTCACAGGGCTATATTTTCTTCATTTTACAACATTTAGCAACCAATCTTTGCAGTTTTACTCATTCGAAGACGCTCTTTCTAGCTGTGGTGTTGGATTTCATTCTTCTTGCCTTGATCAAAATTTAGTCTGTAGCTAAAATCACCCATTTCTCACTTGATTTCTTGGAACAATTTGGAGCTTCTATGAAATATGTTACTAAATTGTATTTTATTTCTATTCACTTCCAGGTATAAGTAATGTATGATGGATGTAGTGAACATCGTGAAGATAGTACCGACCATCAGTTCCGGGTTTTAATTCCCGGGGTAACGAGTCATAATGGTAGATATGGCGGTCAAGAGGCGTGTTTCGCTAAAGCCCAATTTACACTACACAACTTTTGCCTAAAACTGTCGCATGCAACCTGCTTACAACTTGAGTTGTACTGTGTAAATCAAGCACTCGACTCGCATATGTCGTCATAGGTGAGTTGTGAGCTTGATTTACACAGTACAACTCAAGTTGTAAGCAGGTTGAATGCGACAGTTTTAGGCAAAAGTTGGGTCGTGTGAATCGGGCTTAAGTGTGACAGTGCAACACATGTATGGTGCCAAGCCCTAAGGGGCCGTTCACCCTAGCAGTTTAGATCGATCTACAATCGATTCAGAGCCGTATCGGGCCAAGAATGGAGAACCAAAAACGAACCAAGACCGATTTGAGATCGATCTACACTAGACCACATCGAGAGATGATTTAAATGGGGTGCAAAATATTCTTTGTGGGTGCCGCCCCACACCCCACCCCACAAATTGAATACACCAGTGAGCTCTCCATGTAACTGGGGCAAGAACTTGATGAGAAAAGTGAAGCCAAGATAGCGACCATTGACGTCCAACATAGCTATAAACGTCGTAAACACTTTTAACACCATTTTCTCCAGCCACTTCCAGTTTTTCTAGCGGACCGTATCGCTAAACAAGTTACCAGTTCATTAAACCACAGTGTTATTCTTTAAATCGATGTCAAAATACGAAATTTCGGCACGCTCCTTGCCAGCTTAATTCGTGTCAAAAGAGACTGGACGTCCAATAGCGCTTCAATTTCCGCCATCTTGTCTTTTTGGACTCGAGTTCTTGGTCCAGATATATACAGAGTTCGCATGTGTTGCACTATCTAAAACACTTTAACCAAGCTATTACAGTACACATGCTGGTCATGTGGCTTTTGCAAATAATGAAATTATTGCGACTTATCTTTTGATATAAAATTTCTTGAGAGGAATAAGTTCCGGGTACAACCAGTGACGTAGCCAGAGGGGGGGAGGGCCCGCCCCCCTACTGCCCCAGCAAAATATTGAAGCCTCTTGGAAAAATTCTGACCAGTACACAAGCATGTGCATTAAATTTTCATTTCTTGCAATGGAAATGTAATATCTTGCTATGTTTTAAATGTTCTGGATTCGTTTGTGATTAAGAATTGTTGTGTGTTAAATGGTTATTTAAAATGACCAAAACACGATAAAATAGGGGGGAGCATATACCTCCAGACACCCCTAAACATTCATCGCACCTATTTTCATATAATAAACAAACTTTATTGGAACTAGCTCAATGTAACTCCTGGGATTTTTTCGCCCCCCCCCTGACTAGAAATCCTGGCTACGTCACTAGGTTAACAAGTTCATATGAAGGGTATATAGATCTAGGCTGTATAGTTATATTGAAAGATAAATCTTTCAGATTATGTAAACTCCAGCGAGTATAAACTGGATTAATCAGGGACTCAGATTAATGTACATTTGATCCAAAGGATCACTCGATTTTATATTGGTATTTAACGCGTATATATATAAGCAAATTATAATTATAGTATCTAAATACAAAATGATATTCAGTATATAAACTTAAAATATATAAACTTAAAATATATAATAATACACAATTTATATGGTTGTTGTAAATCATTGTTAATCATAGATATATATATGTAGATTGTATGACCAAGTAGCACACTGCAGTGTGTATTTGGATATACTATTATTTATATTGTGTAAATTATTCTAATTTATTAAACTGTAAATTTGAGTTTGTAATACAACTAAAAGATTTGTATTGATATTGTATTTTTATAACAAAATGTGTCAATTTGTAACAAATCGTCAGACTTCTACGAATGCTGTTCCAACACCTTGTTTTCAGAATGTGTTCGCACTGCTTGTTCCCAGCTTGTTGACAACTTGCTACAAGGTTGTTGAGCTCAACAGACTTGTTACAAGTTGTTCCAACAACTTGTTATCGTCCTGCAATTCAACAATTTGTCAACAAGTTGTGAGTGACAACCTTGTCCTTGTAGCAACTTGATAAAATGACAGCATTGTTACAACTTGTTGACAAGCTTGTTACGAACACATCTTGTTGACGTCATTTACAAGTTCAGTACAGTAGATTTAATACAGGACTGCAAGCAGGAAGTTTAGAAAAGATATAGAGCTTGGGACTGATACCTAATATCTTGAGCGGGGGCGTGGATTAATCCAGATGGTTATCAGCAGGGTGACGAGACTAGCCATGACAACTTTTCATGCTATGCGAATCCAATCCAATCCACAGCAGGCCAAACGCCAAACGTGGTGGTCCAGTGTAGGTAGTATTCTACATTACAATAATCTGTCGCAGTTTGTCTCTGAACTGGCGGAAAAAGGTTGAAATACTTCCAGTTTTGATCCTAAACCCCTAACCTTTTGTCAAAGAGTCATCGCTCCATATACAATCGCTTGAAAATATCTTTTTCAAGTAATTCACACACAAACCACGACTGCTGTTGTGGAATACTACCTATACACTAGATATATTATATACACACTTGTGACTTGTGCATGACTTGTCTTACGGCAGATTTTCTCTGGATGCTTCGGTTTTCTCCTCTAGACTATATTTATGCCGAAGCAATAAGAGATGGTTCTTGTTGGACCTCTATAGAGAAAACAGTTTAAGACTGATGGAGCTATCCAGTATAAATAAAGTTAGTTTAGTTTAGGTTTCCTCCTGTAGTAACACTGGATCAATAAGAGAGGATTCTTACTGGACCTCTAGGAAGAACAGTTTAGAACTGATAGAACTATCCAGTATAAATAAAGTTAGTTTAGTTTAGGTTTCCTCCTGTAGTAACACTGGATCAATAAGAGATGATCCTTACTGGACCTCTAGGAAGAACAGTTTAGAACTGAAAGAGTTATCCAGTATAAATAAAGTTAGTTTAGTTTAGGTTTCCTCCTGTAGTAACACTGGATCAATAAGAGATGATTCTTACTGGACCTCTATAGGAAGTATATAGTTATATATACTGTATATAGTTATACAGCACTTTGGACTTAAAAATCCATTAAGTAAAATCCACAGGACGCAACTGTTTCAGCTTGTGTTTTGTTATTGAGCATAGTTTTAAGGAGGCTCCCTACAGTTTCCAATATATATCAGTGTTTTAAACTAAAAGCTATTTGAATCCAAAAAAACTAATTTTTGCACAACCCATTGTTTCCTCTTATATAAAAAACTATAAAACACTTAGCCCGACCAGGAGGCTTTCTGTGCATTTTAAAACAGACTGAGGTTTCGTTTTAGCTACTAGACTGAATAAAAGAAGGTTATATCCTTTGTATATTGTACGACTCTTATATACTTAAGAAATTAAGAGACTACAACTAGAACAATTAAATTATTTATTTTTATAGAGGGAAACCTAAACTAAACGGCCAACTTTATTTATACTGGATAGCTTTATCAGTTCTAAACTGTTCTTATTATAAAGGTCTAGTAAGGATCATCTCTTATTGATCCAGTGTTACTACAGGAGGAAACCTAAACTAAACTAACTTTATTTATACTGTATAACTCCATCAGTTCTAAACTGTTTTCTCTAGAGGTCCAACAAGAACCGTGTCTTATTGCTTCGGTATAAATATAGAGGAGGAAAGCGAAGCCCCCGGACAAAATCTGCAGTAAGATAAGTCATGCACAAGTCACAAGTTCATGCACAAGTCACAAGTGTGTATATTGCACATTCGGCGTTTAAAGAAGTGTAAGAAAGTCACGTGGGAAGAAATCGGAAAGAACGAGAGAAAATTAAATATGCTTCCTCAAACTATTATGCACTTCGTCTTCGAGAGATACACTTAACTTGATAAAAGTGCATCAATTTAGACACATCCTATACTTTTTCAATTTACTTCAACTTATATAAGTAGTTCGGTCTAGTTTTAATTAATGAACGAATATTAATTGCTAATCATTTTTTTAGGTTGTCTTGTAAGTGTAATTGGTTGCACCCAATAGTCCTGATCGAAATCTACGATCGATTCGAACTTGTGTGTCCAACACCAAGAATCCATACGCTGTTATTGGCCAAGCGCGCAAGACCTGTAGATCACATGAACCTGAATATTTTTCAGAGAAAATGGAAAGGAGGGATTGATGCCGAAGGCATGAATGAATTGAAGAAGCAAATGATGAGTGGAGAGTTCTGTGACCCTGCACATAATGACACAGGTAATGGCAATCTGGCTAAAGGTAATGGATGCGGCCTTACACCCTAACACAGAGTCTTCTCGATATTAATTATTTGGCAGCTAAAATCCAAGTCAATTATAGTAAAATATTTTGTAAGATATCAGTTCTAAATTACTGTTCCATCGTTTTTCATCAAATCTAAATTACTGTTCCATCGTTTGTCAGCTATCAGTTAAGATATTTTGTAAAATGTCAATTCCAAACTTCTGTTTCATCAGACCTATCAAGTCATCAACAATGGACGACTTGCGCTTTAGACTAAATTTTAATCTAAGTAAGAACAACGAAATTTATCGTCTTGGAATTAGTAATATTACAAAGTTTGGTTGCGAAATGTTGTAAAATACGGACAATATAGCCCTTCAAAGTTGGCAAATTTGTATACTTTTGTATTACGTGCGTGAATTGGTAACTAATTTAGTTACCAATTTACGCGCGTAACAGAAATGTATACAAATTTGCCAACTTCGCAGGGCTATAATTTCCGTATTTTACAATATTTCGCAACCAAACTTTGCAGTTTTTCTAATTTTGATAACTTCTTTCCAAAAATATCCTTTGTTATTCCCAGATTAAAAATTTTTCTGAAGCGTGTCCATTGTTGAAGTACGAACCAGGGGGGGGGGGGGGGCAGAGGACCCGCCCCTAGCAAAATATTGAAGCCTCTTGGAAAAATTCTGACCAGTACACAAGCATATGCATTATATTTTCATTTCTTGTAATGGAAATTTTATATCTTGCTATGTTTTAAATGTTCTGGATTCATTTGTGATTAATTAGAGTTGTTGTGTGTTAAATGGTTATTTAAAATGACCAAAACACGATAAAATAGGGGGAGCATATGCCTCCAGACACCCCTAAACATTCATCGCACCTATTTTCATATAATAAACAAACTTTATTGGAACTAGATCAATGTAAAATTGCTTCAGCCCCTCCTGGGATTTTTTCGCCCCCCCCCCGACTAGAAATCTTGGCTACGGCACTAGGTTAACAAGTTCATATGAAGAGTATATAGATCTAGGCTGTGTAGTTATATTGAAGGATAAATCTTTCAGATTATGTAAACACAAGTGAGTATAAACTGGATTAATCAGGGACTTTACATTTGATCCAAAGGATCACTCGATTTTATTAGAGTTAGTTTATAGTTCAGTACAGTAGATTTAATACAGGACTGCATACAGGAAGTTTAGAACAGATATAAAGTTACCAATAAATTCAATGCGAACGTGTTTGGGCCGAGACTTGATACCTAATCTCTTGGGCGGGGGCGGGGATTAATCCAGATGGTTATCAGATGGGTGACGAGACTAGTCATGGCAACTGGTCATGCTATGCTAATCCAATCTAATCCACAGCAGGCCAAACGCACTTGAACTGAAGCGGATGTAAATAAAGTGACAGCAAAATATTTTAATGACGTTTCACAAAACATCCTTATCACATCTGGGAATACAGGATCAAAGTAAGATCTCGAGGAAGAAGACACGACTGTCTATATTGTTTATTGGGCATTACTAGTTCCACTTTAGTTACGCTTTGAGGCTAGCAACGAACAGTGGCGACAGTTGGCGAAGAAGATATTAAGAGAAATTAAAAGATGCGAAGCTTTCTACGAGTTGTTTTCGTGCTGTTCTTATTTTCATTTCACAAGGAAGGGAATGCTACAAGATATCTTCCTTCGATTGTATGGGATAATCTCAATCCAATGTAAGCAATTTCTATTTTAGTGCAATAGATATATATGTATACTGACTATACCGTCAAAAAGATATCTCGTGGTCCAGTGTAGGTAGTATTCTACAATAAGCTGTCGTGGTTTGTGTCTGAACTACCTGAAAAAGATATCTCAAACGTGGTGGTCCAGTGTAGGTAGTATTCTACAATAAGCTGTCGTGGTTTTTGTCTGAACTACCTGAAAAAGATATCTCAAACGTGGTGGTCCAGTGTAGGTAGTATTCTACAAAAAGCTGTCGTGGTTTGTGTGTGAAATACCTGAAAAAGATATCTCAAACGTGGTGGTCCAGTGTAGGTAGTATTCTACAATAAGCTGTCGTGGTTTGTGTCTGAACTACCTGAAAAAGATATCTCAAACATGGTAGTCCAGTGTAGGTAGTATTCTACAAAAAGCTGTCGTGGTTTGTGTGTGAAATACCTGAAAAAGATATCTCAAACGTGGTGGTCCAGTGTAGGTAGTATTCTACAATAAGCTGCAGTGGTTTGTGTCTGAACTACCTGAAAAAGATATCTCAAACGTGGTGGTCCAATGTAAGTAGTATTCTACATTACAATAATCCTATATTGGTTTGATGGTTCTATGTTTTCATTTCTACGCGAGCGAGAATATTTCATTCACAAAACGTATATCTCAAGAGCGCGAATTATACTTCATCACACGACGCTGCTTATAAACATTTGAATGGACATACAATGGTATACTCGTTTCTAAGCTAAACCATGCATGACTCTACTCACTTGAAACACGACAAAAATATAAATATTATGCTATGTTAGCCATCTATTCCCTTAAAAAACAACCGGAATTTCTCAGACTTTAACATCATTACACTGAATTTTTAATTCCGCAGCACAAGTATAAAGCCGGGTTTACACTATCAAAGTTTCTGTGATCACAGTAGGAATTTTGCATGGGTAAATTCTACACTGAAGTTTTGAAGGATTTGTAAGAAATGTTTGAGGAAACTGATTTAGTGTTTAAAGCCCTGATCAAACGCGGAAAACGCAAGTCATCGCAAGTAAACTTGCCCTGAATTGCGATGGGACCGATCAAACGATACGCAAGTTATCGCAACAATTTACAATATTTGGCCCGTGTGCGGGTAATTTTGCGAAGTTGCAAAATTGTATGGCCGTCATTTAAACCCATTTAAAACGAATGTAAAAAATTTTGAAAATGCCATGTAAAATGAAGCGAGAGCTGCCAACAACACTGTGTTATTTTCTCTACTTGCATGAAACGTGGAAAAACAAGAGCATGGATTAAGCGAAGATCAGAAAAAGGTCATTTTTATAACATCTTGAGAGAGCAGGGGACTAGCGAGTATGGTTTCCTTTGATTTCCATGGAAACTGGTCTCAAAAAACTTGTCTGAACTTGCACTTCCTGATCAAACGTATCGCAAGTGCTCGCACGTTTAAAAAAGCTTGCGATGAAGTTTGAACCAGCTCAAATCATTCGCAAATAAGTCAAATATATATAAATATAGAGGATAATTATAATCACAAAGGATAACCTTCTTTATATTCAGTCTAGTAGCTAAAACGAAACCTTTTGTTTTAAAATGCACAGAAAGCCTCCTGGTCGGGCTAAGTGTTTTATAGTACATTGAAAATTTAAATAACAATTATGTATTCCTCAGCTTTCGAGTTCCGTCTTTTACTGACATGAATTTAATTATCCTTAAGACAATACACTCAACTATATATAGAGTCAGTCAGGCATTTAAAACTATGTTCAATAACAAAACACAAGCTGAAACAGTCACGTTCTGTGGATTTTACTTAATTACTTTTTTAATTAAGCTCTCGTTTATATGTCCAAAATGCTGTATAGTCCATATACTGGATAGCTCTATCAGTTCTAAATTGTTAAGGATTATCCCTTATTGATCAGAAGGAAACCTAAATTAAACTAACTTTATTTATACTGGATAGCTCTATCAGTTCTAAACCGTTTCTCTAGAGGTCCAACAAGAATCGTCTCTTATTGCTTCGGTATATATAAATATATAGTGCAGAAAAGCGGAGCACCCGGAGAAAATCTGGCGTAACGGAGAAGTCATGCACAAGTCACAAGTAGGCATTTATATATATATATATATTGCACCTTCGGCGTTTAAAGAAGTGTAAGATATGCGCGTGACCAGCAAAAAGTTGCCTTTAAACTGAACTTAGAGGAAGAAAACGGGAAGAACGAGAGAAAATTAAATATGCTTCCTCAATCTATTATGCACTTCGTTTTCGAGAGATAGACTTAACTTGATGAAAGTGCATCAATTTAGACACATCCTATACTTTTTCAATTTACTTCAACTTATACATGCAATATCCGCGTAGTTCAGTCTAGTTTTAATTATTAATGAACGAATATTAATTGCTAATTTTTTTTAGGTTATCTTGCAAATGTAATTGGTTCCACCCAATAGCCCTGATCGAAATCTACGATCGATTCGAATTTGTGTGTCCGACAACGAGAATCCATACGCTGTTACTGAACAAGCGCTCAAGACCTGTAGATCACATGAACCTGAATATTTTCCAGAGAAAATGGAAAGGAGGGATTGATGCCAAAGGCATGAATGAACTGAAGAAGCAAATGATGAGTGGAGAGTTCTGTGACCCCACACATAAAGACACAAGTAATGGCAGTTCTGGCTAGAGACAATGGATGCGCCCTTACCCCCTAACACAGAGTCTTCCCGATCTTTTATTGGCAGCTAAAATCCAATCAGTAAAACATTTTGTACGATATCAGTTCTAAATTACTGTTCTATCATTTGTCAGTTATCACTTAAGATATTTTATAACATGTCAATTCCAAATTACTATTCCCTCGTTTTTCATCAATTCTAAATCACCGTTTCATCTTTTGTCAGCTATTTTCTAAAATGTTAGTTCCAAATTTCTGTTTCATCGGACCTATCAACTCATCAACACTTGTTAAAGTATGCACCAAATGTATATACTTTAAAGCAAATTCTTATTCTCAATTGTATAGAAAAAATATTTACATGTAAAATGGGAGCGCCAGATGGACATACGATAAGATTTGCAGGAGACGCTGGTTTTTATAAAGACGACATTGTGGTGTATTTTAGTAAGTATTGCACTCTTCAGTTTAGTTACATTTTTGGCATGGTTACTGTTCTGGAACATATCTCATGGTGTCATAGAATCCTGAATTACATTAGTCTTAACTAAGCCTCATTTTTACAAATGTCCCAAGCACATTAGCCAAGTTTTGAAAATTTACGAGAAAACGTCTTAAAGGCAGGTTGACACTATCAAAGTTTCTGTGATCACAGTAGGAGTTTTGCATCGGTGAATTCTACGTTTTGAAGGATGTTTGAGGAAACCACTCCGTGTTAACAATGACTCGGTTCCCTTACAAACTTTCAAAACGTACAGTTGACTTATGCAAATTTCCTACTGTTATCACAGAAACTTTGATGTCACAATGTGAAGCAGCCTTTATTGCTAAGTATTATGATCAAATTGTTGTACCATATTCTAATAATAGTTTATAACTCTTTGACAGATAATCGCGACGATGGAAGAAAGACCAGTCTCACAAGTACTGAAAAGCGTTGCGCCATGGCCTTCGTGACGAAAGCCACCTGGAATGTTGCCAAAAAATATGACTTCACATATGGAAAGAATTTAGATGAACTTCGTAAGTTTACTTTCTTATGTGGTGGGTTTAAGTCAACGTTGCAGGGCAGCAGATGATCGTTAACCTCAGAGATGTGCACACTTTTAAAAGGAAAAAAATTGAGTAGCCGAATGGGGTAGCCGATCTTATTTTCAAGTTAAATAACTAACTTTAAACCCAAAATGTCGACCATATTGAATCGTCATTGTTGCCATAACAACGGCAGTTGCGATTCCTTTTCTTCGAAAAAATCCAACTCTGTAGTTATCATTTTTGTAATCTGACTTTCTTTGTCTTTTAACAAATAGGAATTGTCGAAAAATTGGGTCTAAATCGGAGATCTTCCATTTTCTAGTAAACTGTAGGGAGCCACCTTTAGTCTTGGAGTCATATACTTGCAACAGCTATTAGTAGAATCATACTAGTATAGTATTGCAAATGCTGCAATTTGATTGGCTGCTCTACTCACTATCTATTCCCCTATTGTTAGCGAGTAGCAAAACAATTTTTCTGGTGCATTTTTTTTTAAAAATGGCTTCCGGCTCGCGTTTTTTTTATTGAATTATAGAATTATTTTGTGGAATATTTTATGTTTGATCTCTGACTCTACTAAAACAATTAGATTGCTCTCGATTTCTATGAGGGGATAGTTCATTCGGGCTATGAGGTGATAGTTGATCAGGGCGAAGCGGCTTCGCCCTGATCAACTATCACCTCATAGAAATCTCGAGCTCGTAATCTAATTGTTAATTGACCTTTCCCCTTTTGAGTGAAATTTTGATCTAGACTTTCATCACAGCTTGAAAGAGCATCACAAAATTAGTAATATTCCCAAGTTTCGCTGCGAAATGTTGTAAAATGCGGATAATATAACCTTGTGAAGTTTTCAATTTTCAGTCATTTTGTATTACATTACAAATGGGAAATTGATAATCAGTTTGATCATCTGATTATCAATTTTCCGTGCGTAATCCAAAATGACTGAAAAACGGCTAACTTCGCAAGGCTATATTATCCGCATTTTACAACATTTCGCAACGAAACTTCGGAATATTACTAATTTTGTGATGCTCTTTCAAGCTGTGATGAAATTCTTGTCCAGAATTGTCTAGATCAAAATTTCAGTCAAAAGGGGAAAGGTCTATTGCATGACCGTTGCTTTAATAGTTCTTAACTATAAATTGAGCTTTGTTGCAGTGCCACAATGCCGTCACGTCAACACAACATGTAAAGAAGAAGCATCAACACAACCAACAACATCACTACCATCAACAACACCATCAACAACAACAGGGTCAAGTCAGACAACACTAAATTCCAAGAAATCAAATGAGGCTTTAATACAGAGGCTTATTAATGCTTGGCTCTGCCCACGCTAGTTTTGATATGCCCGCGGGAGGTGCGCGCGCGTTTAAACATATATCTAGCGTGTTGCTATTTGAATGTGTTTTGGCGTTCAAATCAAACTGAAATTCAATAAATATGAGCTATCAGAACATTTTTGATTATATAACAACCAGCAGCGAGGAATAATTAAACTATATTCAAACATAATTAATTGGGGATCACAGTAATTGGCCTGAAGCTGTCGTAATTTGTAATGTCACATTTGTAATGTTATATATATAATTATTGTTATTTGACATGTATTCTTGTTGTGACAAAGCTTGTAAAATTAAAATTTAAAAAATTAAAAATTCATATAAGCTTATTGGCAAATCATGTCAACCATAATATGTCACGTGCAGTGGCTTTAAACCTGATAAAACACTCCTAATTGGTATTCTTTATATAAAGAATACTAATAAGGCAGTATCTATTGTAGTCGTGTCCTCATTAGTATTCTTTATATAAAGAACACTAATAAGGCAATATATGATATTTTCTGTGTTGGTGTTGTGTACTCAGGTGAATATGATGTTTGTGAATATGATGTCTGCACCCTCGCTGCGGAAGTTCCGTATTTTCACATATTAATCAGCAATTACTACATATTAATCAGCAATTACTACATATTAATCAGCAATCACTGCATATTAATCAGCAACTTAAATATCAGTTACTTACTTAATGACCTCATTATGCATTATTATCCATTTCATGGAGCAATATTGTTTCCGAGAATGTCTTTGATAATATTCTAAAAAACAAAATGATGAAATCGTTATTTTAAGATTTATGTTTCCGACTCTTTCTCATTCATTTGTTGAAGTGTTTGGCCAGTTAAACCAATATCAATATCGAAGGAACTAGACTCAGTTCCGAAATATCACCAACTCGAACCGACTTGACCTCATAGCTCAGTCGGTAGAGCATTAATGACTAGTATCCCAAAGGTCGCGGGTTCGACTCCCACCGTAGTCAGACAACTTTTCAGCTTGCCCGGTGTGGATGCACACTCAGAGTAACATCACAAACATCAAATGTCAACTATCGTACAGCAGATGTTGGTCAACCTGCTGTTATCAGAGTGAGAAAATAATGTTCATTCTTTTCATTATATGTATAGTAGTCTTGTATTTGGAGGAAAATAAATAAAATTGAGAGATGTCATTTTTGAAGTTCAAACACATTCACTGCTGCCCCTGTGACGCTGACTGAAAAACATCAAATTGCTTTTGTTCTCCAAGAGTAACTTTGTTATTCATGAAAGGCGACGATTTTGAAGAAAAACGCGGAACAAAATAGGTTTTCGGCAAAAACACTGGATGAGGAAGTTGGAAGTTTCAACTTTCATTTCGGAGAATTAGTGGGAGGCATTTAAAGTCTGGCAAAAGTATTGTCTCCGGGAACTCCCGTTTTCTCGTAGCTCAGACAAGGAAACAGGAGAGAATGATGATTTGAATGAATGAATTCTATTAATTTGCCACATATATAATCACAAAAACAACAACAATTGCTATACAAAAGTAATATTGGAAAAGACAAAAAAAAATGAGAATTTGTGACGAAGTGCTATAGATGTCAAAAATATTGATGAATAAGTTACCTAAGTATATGTGAAGTAGAATAGTCAGCAGACATATATATAACAAGGAAGCTAATATAATACAAAAGCACACACGTAATATCAAAAGGAAGATACTTAGATGTACACACCTAGATATAATTAAATACTATTTAGTTACAATCGTCAGAAATATTATCGAAATATCAACACTATCACGTTATATCAAAAAGATATATTTAGATGTACACACCTAGATATAATTAAATACTATTTAGTTACAATCGTCAGAAATATTATCGAAATATCAACACTATCACGTTATATCAAAAAGATATATTTAGATGCACACACCTAGATATAATTAAATACTATTTAGTTACAATCGTCAGACATATTATCGAAATATCAACACTATCACGTTATATCAAAAGGAAGATACTTAGATGCACACACCTAGATATAATTAAATACTATTTAGTTACAATCGTCAGACATATTATCGAAATATCAACACTATCACGTTATATCAAAAGGAAGATACTTAGATGCACACACCTAGATATAATTAAATACTATTTAGTTACAATCGTCAGACATATTATCGAAATATCAACACTATCACGTTATATCAAAAAGATATATTTAGATGTACACACCTAGATATAATTAAATACTATTTAGTTACAATCGTCAGAAATATTATCGAAATATCAACACTATCACGTTATATCAAAAAGATATATTTAGATGTACACACCTAGATATAATTAAATACTATTTAGTTACAATCGTCAGAAATATTATCGAAATATCAACACTATCACGTTATATCAAAAAGATATATTTAGATGTACACACCTAGATATAATTAAATACTATTTAGTTACAATCGTCAGAAATATTATCGAAATATCAACACTATCACGTTATATCAAAAGGAAGATACTTAGATGCACACACCTAGATATAATTAAATACTATTTAGTTACAATCGTCAGACATATTATCGAAATATCAACACTATCACGTTATATCAAAAGGAAGATATATTTAGATGCACACACCTAGATATAATTAAATACTATTTAGTTCATACAATCGTCTGACATATTATCGAAATATCAACACTAAAGTTTCTGTGATCACAGTAGGAATTTTTGCAAAGGTAAATTCTAAGTTTTGAAAGATTAGTGTAAGAGATGTTTGAGGGAACTAAATCATTGTTTAGCGCTGAATCAGTTCCCTAAAACATTTCTTACAAATCCTTCAAAACTTAGAATTTAGCTACCTATGCAAAATAAACCACCCTTAACAACATGCACTCAAGATATATTCCGCTATGCAAATGTTAGACCACAGAGACTACCAGAAAAGAAAAGATTGAACAATTCTCTAACATTTAAAAAAAAACCACACAAAATGTCAATATCAGATTTTCCTTCATTCAATAGGGAATTATACGATTGCCGTTGCTAGCCGCCAATATGGCGGAATCTACCTTGAAAACGGCTGGGTACAACCAAGGTTGTTTAGAATAACTAGATTAGGAAACATTTCTTGTATAAAAGTGATAATTCACACATAATATTATATAGATAAGCATAAGATACTGAATGTAATCGCTCATTAATTTCAATGAAGAGTCTTAATGAGGAAATGAGTAATGTCTGTACGTAAATAGGGAATCTCCACTTAGAATTTTCTTATCAAGTTAGTTACGTAAGATAGTGGGAGTTTTGTTATATATTTTCAGGTAGCTTCGTCACTGCATGTAATCTCAAGTGTTCGATGCTATATACAATATGGAACTACGCGTTCAAGATCGTATCACAGGAATTACAGCTGTGACGTTTACAATATTTACTAACCACTTTAAACCATAGATATCTTATATACACTAGATAGTGCATCTAATTATTCTGCAATTCGAAAATTGAAGCCGTGATTGCAGGGTCAGGATATTCCCATGAAATGAGAAGACTCTTATGTTTTCTATTTCTTAAACAGGGAACTTAAACATTAAGTTAAACCTATTCCAAATACATTTTCAAACTATTCAAATGATGAAAGTTATTGTTGTTTTTTAAGCGTTTATTAGCGAGTGGGAAACTTCCAACATGGCCGCCATCTATTCAAATGGGGGTAACCGCTGGAATATTCTTGGCTTCAATTTTACTAAAAGAGATGCGCTATCTAGTCTATATAAGATATCTATGCTTTAAACCCATTTCTGGCTTATTGTACAGTAGAATTTGAGTATGATTGTGGATTCAGAATTTTCCTTAATTTAAGCCTAGTTTACACTATCAAAGTTTCTGTGATCACAGTAGGAATTTTGCATGGGGAAATTTTAAGTTTTGAAGGATTTGTAAGAAATATTTGAGGGAACGGACTTAGTATTAAACAGTGAATCAGTTCCCTAAAACATTTCTTACAAATAGCAACTGATCACAGAAACTTTTATAGTGTTAACCAGGCGTTAAGCTCGCAGTTTTACTTATCATTTGCAAAATTATGGAATGGAAGAAGATAATTGCTTTAGGGAGTGGTCATTATTTATGGCGGGGGGCACCGAAGAGAAAAAGGTTGGGTAAATGAAAAACAAAACAACTCAAGGGTTGGGTAATAAAAATTTATTGTCATTTCCAAAGCATGACCCTGAAATATTGGAGAGTGAAAACTGAAAAGCAATGTCAACAGTCATTTGTCAATACAATATGTGAATCAATCAGAGTCACTATCTTGATCATTTTGACAAAACAAATTGTGTTTCCAAAGAAAGTACATGTGCAGACAATATGAAACTTTAGACTGCAGAAAATTTCACAAGCCGTTATCAAACTCATGTGACAGAAGTGGTAAAGGACATGTATGACAACTGAATGGTATCCTTTTGTTAAGTTTTTGGCCAGGGGTGGGTAGTTATTTTTTAATTGATATTTGAGGTTGAGTAATAAAATTTTGTCTTTTTAATGGTTGGGTTAGCAAAATTTTTGACACGAAAAACATTTCTCTCCGGTGCCACCCCCATAAATAATGACCGGTCCCTTATTATCTTTATAGTCAATAGTTGAAAGAAATCGTCTGGCATTAGCACGACGCTTCGGGGCTGCAGGCGTCAGAACAAGCACCTTAATTTCACCTCTGAGATCGTTGGTTCGATTCTCACTACGGACTCATGTGAAAAGAGTCAGTCAACACTCTGCCGAAAGTCGTGGGTTCTCCAGACGTTCCGGTTTGGCAGGGTGGGTTAGGATAAACATACTTAAGAAAATAATATCACAATTGTTGCAAAGATAAATAGTCTAGGCTAAGTTAGTCAATATACTTGATGTAATCGGTCACTCAAAACCCCAATGGTATGACCACGTGAGTTCGACATTTTTCACTTATTGTATTGAGATAATTACTCTACATTTTGTATTGTTTATTGTTATTGCAATCGGAATATGATTGAATAAAGTCCATATATTGAATATTATGTAACGTCTTTCTTTTAGAATATCACGTATTGTCACTACACCCTAATTCCTAGATAAAAAAGGCGCAGCAAAAGTCTAAAAAAAAATCCTTTATCTTTAAATCTCTAAAAAACACAGTATATGTTCCTGTTATTGTATAAAACTTTATCCACTTTTAATCTCTTTAATTCTTAATGCCTTATCAATATTATAGAAAGTCTCTGTATTCTCTCTGTATTAGAGAGACACAAGTTTATTAGCGTTTTACACTATAAAGACCATTGTGTGCCACCCTCTACAAATACACATCTATCTATTGCTGATTATCTATATAGTATCTTCATTATTATACTACAATCTCGAACTCATTAATAATTCATGAGCAAATTAGCGAATGAACTCACCCTAATTCGTTACATGATTGAGGTTGGATACCGCAAGGAAACACGCTAAAAATCATATACCATCACTGTTGTTAGATGAAAAACGGTTCTCATCTAATACCTGAGATCCTAATTACAAATTCAAGTCAAAACACAACAATATACTATAATATTATATATAATATAATAATAGGTCCCCCGTTAGCTCTTAATAAATTTAACAGCCAATGAAATGTTTTCGTTCGAGATGTTGTGTAAACAACTCGTTTCTCGTGTTTCATCAGGGGACCAAACACTCGTAAACAATAAAACACTCGCGCTTCGCGCTCGTGTTTCATACAGTTTTCTCGTGTTTGGATCCCCTGATGAAACACGAGAAACGAGTTGTTTACATATAACGTCTAATATGATGAATACTGTCTATGATTGATAAAGTTTCTCACTTGTATATATAATTTAACTAACCAAAAGTCTATGAAACTAGGGAACTAAAAGCCATTTCCATAAGGCTCCAAGCCCAAATATTTTATTCTTATTATTTTTGATAATTGTATATGAAAAAGAGCAAATTAAAATATCTATCTATCTATTGTATTCCAATGTGCCTCGATAGAAAAAAGATTACCATTAAAAAGTATCTTCCGAAGCAGTGGGCACAACAAACGACGGACATCGACTGGGGGTGGTGTTATTACATTGTTATTTAGCTCACTGCCCATTGGGGCTTTCGAGTGATCGATTACATTAAATATTATGTTTATACTTATGCTACTTATGTACTTAGACTATTTATCTTTGCAAAACTTGTGCTACTACTTTCTAAACTGTTTTTATCCTAACCCACCCTGTCAACTTTCTCTGTGGCAGGAAACCGGAGCACTCGAAAAACCCACGACTGTCGGCAGAGCGTTGACCGACTCTTTTCACATGAGTCCGTTGCGAGAATCCAACCCACGAACGCATCGCGGTCTACATCACATGAGAGAAGAATGCTTCCAGCTCGACTCTACCAAGCACCACAGCTCGTTTTCGGGTACCCCTGTTTCCGCTTGATATTGGAGCTCTAGGAAATCATATTGGAGCTCGAGAAGGACTAGTGGTTTGGAAGTGATAGAGCTATATCCAGTATAAAGTTCGCTTGGTAGTTTCGACTTGAATCGCATTTATCCCGGAAAAAGCATTTTCCGTATACCCTTCACAAATAGTGGGCAGAGCAGACTGCAAGTAGACAATGTTTTGTCAAGTTTCCAAAAGCGCGTATTGTTAATGGCCGGGTAATTCTTATGTAAGTCTTACCCAATGGACGAGCTTTGCAGCGCTATGCGGAGAGTTAATGATCCCCCCCCCCCTCTTAGTAAGGTACTGAAAAAGCAATAAACATAAAACGTACAACTTGCAACAAATCGTCAGATTTCTACGAATGCTGTTCCAACAACTTGTTATCAGGATGTGTTCGCACTGCTTGTTCCCAGCTTGTTCACAAGTTATCAACGGCTTGCTGACAACTTGCTACAAGCGGTTGTTGAGCTCAACAGACTTGTTACTAGATGTTCCAACAACTTGTTATCGTCTTGCAATTCAACAATTTGTTAACAAATTGCGAGTGATCACCTTGTAGCAACTTGATAAAATAACAGCATTGTTACAACTTGTTGGCAAGCTGGTTACGAAGACATCTTGTTGACAAGTTGTAAGATTTTTACGTGTGTATTTAGGGAGAATAATTTGTAGGGCTATCCGGTATAAATAAAGTTAGTTTAGAGTTCAGTACAGTACGGTACAGTAAAGTAGATTTAATGCAGGACTGCATACAGGAAGTTTAGAACAGATATAAAGTTACCAATAATTCCAATGGGAACGTGTTTGGGCTTAGACCTAATCTCTTGGGCGGGGGCGGGGACTAATCTCGATAATTATCAGCAGGGTGCCGAGGTTAGCCATGGCAACTGGTTAAGCTATGCTAATAAACCTTTATCTGAATAGGTTAAAGACAATGCATTTCTAAAGATTTGAATGATAAAAATCATTAAAAATTTGCAAAGCATGACGTGTTCCTATATGGCTATGACTTTTATTGTCACATCGTGGGCGCTCACGTCAGTAAAACTCCGCCTAACCAAAGAATCTTTTATGATTCAAGGAATCTCTCAAGCTGCCAGTGCACGCTCGAGTATTTCTTACAATTTTTTATAGTTGACACAAAGTAAAGAACTCTCTATGTTGTTCGGTTGTTTTGGAAACCTCGCCTTGATAAAGAAACACACAAAATGATGATTTGTAATTGAGCGACTTACGGACATAAGTGAAATTACTCATTGTAGTTTAAGTTAAAAATAAAATATTACAATTGAATGCATTAAAGAATACTTTCCCGAAGAATGATGTAATTTAAATTATGTAAGGCTTTTTTGTTCTAGCATATGTCAATTTGTAAGTTGAACTCAAAGCCGAACTAATAAGTGCAGCTGATAAATAAGTACACTGACACTTGACTGACAGACACTTCACCAAATATTGGGATGTCAATTTGCAGGTTGCCAATATATATCTATACACCCATAGGCTGAATAAAGCGCCTTACTGGATCGAGAACAGTTTATTGAACTGATAGAGCTATCCATTGCATATATATAGTTATCTAATTGTCCATATAATTTAGTAGGTTTCCTCCTGTAGTAACACTGGATCAATAAGAGATGATCCTTACTGGACCTCTAGGGAAAACAGTTTAGAACTGATAGAGCTATCCAGTATAAATAAAGTTAGTTTAGTTTAGGTTTCCTCTGTAGTAACACTGGATCAATACAGGCTTCAGTCTTAGACTTCGGGGAGATAAGTTGGTTATTACAGTTGATAAGCCGTGGTGCATTGTATATTAAGCTGACAGAGAGAGGAAATACCCGAGGTATATCTTGAACAGACTCGGTTAGATATAGATAACGATTACGATTACGAAAGGGTTATAACACTCCCCTATGCTAAGTTCTAAGCATTCATATTTGGGAATATTCTCCATGTGTTTGGAGATTTATTTATATACTTGTACCCCATATTTTTGGGGCTGGGGGAATCTTTACCCCCAGTCATATTAACCCAACAACGAGATGAATTATTTACAGTGTTCTATTTAGTACACCGCCCAGTAAACGGAGCTCAGGAGATGCAACACTCAAGCCGATAATGCGTGTGTGGGTTTATATCGGTTTAAGATCATTCGTTGAGACGGAAGGCATAAATGATCCTTACTGGACTTAGTTTAAAATTGATAGAGCTATCCAGTATAAATAAAGTTAGTTTAGTTTAGGTTTCCTCCTGTAGTAACACTGGATCAATAAGAGATGACTCTTACTGGACCTCTAGGGAGAACAGTTTAGAATTGATAGAGCTATCCAGTATAAATAAAGTTAGTTTAGTTTAGGTTTCTTCCTGTAGTAACACTGGATCAATAAGAGATGATCCTTACTGGACCTCTAGGAAGAACAGTTTAGAACTGATAGAGCTATCCAGTATAAATAAAGTTAGTTTAGTTTAGGTTTCCTCCTGTAGTAACACTGGATCAATAAGAGATGATCCTTACTGGACCTCTAGGGAGAACAGTTTAGAACTGATAGAGTTATACAGCATAAATAAAGTTAGTTTAGTTAGGTCAATAAGAGATGATCCTCACTGAGAAAATCTTTAGTTTAGAATCGAGCTGTTCAGTACTTACTACCAAGCAGTCACACCCCCGCTTCACAAAACCAACCGGACGTCACACCCCCCCCTTGCATATGCAAATGTATGTTTAATCTACAGATACTGTATGTATAGATCCACAGCAGGTCAAACGCACTTGAGAACTCAAGCGGATGTCAACAAAAGTGACGGCAACATATTTTAATCACGTTTCACCCGAAATAAGACATCCTTATCACATCTGGCAATACAGGACCGAAGTAACATCTCGAGGAAGAAGACACGACTGTGTATATTGTCTATTGTACATTACTAGTTCCACTTTAGTTACGCTGGGCGGCTAGCAACAAACAGTGTCGACAGCTGGCGAAGAAGATATTAAGAAAGACTAAAAGATGCGAAGTTTTCTACGGATTGTTTTTGTGCTGTTCTTCTTTTCATTTCACCAAGAAGGGAATGCTACAAGATATCTTCCTTCGATTGTATGGGATAATCTCAATCCAATGTAAGCATTCTTTAGTGCTAGATATATATATGTATACTGGCTAGTCAAAACACATACAAAGAGAAAAGTCTCAAATGTGTACGTTATCTTAATTCAACGAAAAGTGTCTCAACTACCTGAAAAAGATATTTCAAACGTGATGGTTCAGTGTATACTAGGCATAGTATTCTACAATAAACTGTCGTGGTTTGTGTCTGAACTACCTGAAAAAGATATCTCAAACGTAGTGATTCAGTGTATGTAGTATTCTACAATAAGTTGTCGTAGTTTGTATCCGAACTGGCGGAAAAAGGTCCAGTTTTGATCCTAAATCCCCAACCGTTTGACAAAGAGGCATCGCTCCATATACAATTGCTTGAAACATCTTTTTCAAATACGTAATACAGACACAAACCACGATTGCTTGTTGTAAATACTACCTACACTAGACCTATGTTCCCTATATTGGTTTGATGGCCCTCTGTTTTCATTTCTACGCTAGCGAGAATATTTCATTCACAAAACGTATATCTCAAGAGCACGGATTACGCTTCATCACATGCACGACACTGCTTATACATTTGAATGGATGATACAATGACAATGCATATATACATACATACATTTTAAACTATAAACTCGTTTCTAAACTAAACCATGATTCTATTAATTTGAAACACGAGAGAAATATAAATATTATACCATGTTAGCCATCTATTCCCTTAAAAAACTACCGGTTTCTCAGGCTTTAATATCATTATTCATTAATGTTTAATTCCGCAGCGCAAGTGTATGACGGCCTTTGCGGTTGATCTGAATTGCTTAGCAATATATATAATAGACGTTTGTAGCCAAATTTTGCCCCTAGGGTTTCGGTTTTTATGTTTATATTTTAGTATTGCCAGAATTTAGCAAGACGCCGGGTTAGTTTTGCCGTAAGCAGCGTCTGAGCAACTAAAATAGTCTATGTTTTGATGGTGTTGTTGTTCGTTACGTCGGCAAGCGTCTATATATGTATGGCGTAAATTAAAATGGATGTCGATATAATCTGTATATATATATATATATATATAATATATAATATATAAAAAAGGCATAAGTCTGGTTCAATATAAGCCCCTATCACCAATGAATTTATTATAACTCAATAAATTTGGTTGAGAATATATTCAGGCTTGCAGTTTCATTTTCGAAAGCAAAGATCCAAAGTGTTTCGGATGATCTGATGGTTATAACTGCAACCTTCTTTATTTTTATGGAAATTTAAATGTCCATATATTTTTTTAACCCACTTGAACTATACCCCGATTCAATATCTCTAACCTCAGAACCATTTCAAAGTGTCAGTTTAGAATATAAAGCATAGAAACATAGCTATAGGATTGATAAAAGATATTTGCTAGCTATCATAGCTCTTAATTTGCTCAGAAAATGGAGTTCGGCAACTTACAGTTTATAGTTTAAGAAAATTACAGTTTAGTTTAAGAAAAAACACATAAATATACAGAATGGACAAACTATATATTTGTCTTACAACGCATTAACTTGAAGACTCATGTGTTCCACTACTCACAAAAAGCTGTTTGCTGCATGCCGGCATGAACTATATAGTCTATATACGTATATATCAATTGAAATACACATGCATGTGATTTTGGCCTTGTTTTTGCCAGGTGAATATATGAGACATGAGCTACAGTTATTCTGGAAACATATAGGAGGGAGTCTCAGTATAAGAGCAAACTGTTCAGTACAACTTATATATTGCCGGTCGTTAAACTTCAAAGACATAGTTGCTTAGTGATATACCAAGGAAATGAGTGTGGAGTCTTTATAAAACTAAAATGTGAAATTTCTTACAGATAAATATAAGATATACACTCATGTATAGCCAAGTCTAAACTACCTAGCTTCGAGTACAGTTAAGTTAGCGTAGTTTAGGTCAGCTAAGAATATAACAATCTATATAAATCATTTAATTGTTCTAGTTATAGTCTCTTAATTTCTCAAGTATGTAAGAGTCTTGCAATATACAAAGCCTATAACCTTCTTTATATTCAGGCGTTAGATCTAAAACGAAACTTTCTGTTTTAACATATTTGCAAAGAAACCCTCCTGGTCGGGCTATAAGTGTTTCAGTATACATGCATTGAAAATCTAAATAACAATACAATCCTAAGCTTTCGAGTTCCGTCTTTTAATATTTTTGCCGACATTTAATTATCCTTATGACAATACACTCAACTAGACAGAGTCAGTCAGGCATTTAAAACTATGCTCAATAACAAAACACAGCTGAAACAGTCACGTTCTCTGGTCAAATTATACTTAATGGGTTTTTTAAGCTCTCGTTTATGTATAAAATGCTGTATAACTAACTGTACTGGATAGCTCTGTCAATTCTAAACTGTTTTTCCTGTAGAGGTCCAGTAAGGATCATCTCTTATTGATCAGGAGGAAACCTAAACTGTATAACTACTAACTTTATTTACACTGGGTAGCTCTATCGGTTCTAAACTGTTTTCTCTAGAGGTCCAACAACAACCATCTCTTATTGCTTCGGTATAAATATAAAGGACGAAAGCGGAGCACCCGGAAAAAATGTACCGTAAGACAAGTCATGCACAAGTCACAAGTCTATATATATATTGCACCTTCAAAGTTTACAAAAGTGTAAGATACATGCGCGTGACAAGCAAATAGTTCCCTTTATTCTTTAAACTGAAAACGGGAAGAACGAGAGAAAATTAAATATGCTTCCTCAAACTATTATGCACTTTGTCTTCGAGAGATACACTTAACTTGATAAAAGTGCATCAATTTAGACACATCCTATACTTTTTCAATTTACTTCCCTAGGACTACAGAATAGAAAACAAGAATATATCTGCGTAGTTCGGCTTAGTTAAACAAACGTAAACCGCTGGTTTACAGTATCAAAGTTTCTATGATCACAGTAGGAATTTTGCATAGGTAAATTCTAAGTTTTGAAGGATTTGTAAGAAATGTTTGAGGACACTGGCTCGTGTTTAACACTAAGTCAATTCCCTCGAACATTTCTTACAAATCCTTCAAGACGTAGAGTTTATCCATGCAAGATTCCTACTGTGATCACAAAAACTTTGATGTAAACTGGATACGCAGTTCATCTCAGACAGATGATTGATCCATCTATATATATCAGGCATGACTCTACAAAGTTCCTGTATAAGATCATTTGACACAAGGAATTCATGATGATGGATGTTTTCGAATTGGAACACTATATACCCAACTGCAAGGGGAGTGGCTCGAAAGCCAATCGGTTTAACCCTAGGTTATAACCTAAAATTCAAAACAACTTCCCACCAGCGTGTTTACAAATTCGAAAATATCTCTTGAGAAATCTTGTCTGCAGGAACACTGGGAGTTTTCTTCTCTGAAATTTTGGAACAAACAGACGTGCAGAAATACGTAAATCATAAACTAAAACAGCAGGTCCTTGGAACTTAAACGTGCTTATTTAAATGCATCTTTGATTCCATGCAGTGATAAATCAATCAATATCATTAAGCGATGATAGAAGGTAGAAATTTTATATGCGGAAACTTCCAAGCACGCCTGTGCCTGTATTTTTAAATCTGAGATTTCATTTTTTTTAAATGATGATCAAATTACTCAATATTGTTATGTTGTTTTCAAAGACCGTAAATGTCGAAATAACTATAAAATTTTTTGAGATAAATTATTTCAAAAACAAACTGCTGTTGAATATGATGATTGTGACACTGATTTGCGTGAACGCGATTTAGGTCTATTGCAAAGGTGCAACTTTTCATGTGCGCTCGATGACGAGTTTTTGGTAATTTATAGATTAGTTCAGCACATGACAAACGCCGTGTTTCAGTTAGATCTTAGACTTAGGACAGGGTCAGACGTCGAACTCCTCATGTGCCGAACCTAATGTTAATGAGCTAAGTTCTTTGTTTCACTTCATTTGCATTAGGTTCGGCGCATGAAAATTTCGACGTTCGACCCTGGCCTTAGTTTTTTAAATATTGTACACTACACTAGTTTAGTAGTTAGTAATATAGAGAGTATATAAGCTTCGCGTTATACGTCAAACGGCAGACAAAGAAAAAATTTACGGTATCAGGCAATAAAGAGTAAATTAATGGACCATTGGCATTATAGACTAAATTTTGATCTAAACAAAAATTTCATCACAACTTGAAAGAGCATCACAAAATTAGTAATATTCCCAAGTTTCGTTGCGAAATGTTGTAAAATGCGGATAATATAGCCTTGCGAAGTTTGCCGTTTTTCAGTCATTTTGTATTACGCACGGGAAATTGACAGCCCAATCGGGTGTTGGGCATCAATTTCCCGT